TATATATATATATATATATATATATCATCCCTTTAGCCGGCTTAAAAATCACTAGCCGGCCGGCCTTCCTTAAAAAGTTCTTCACGATCCCTCTAAGCCCTCGTGTGCTTTGTCTTAATTCGTTAAGACTTTAAAATGCATTAAAATATTCTTATATTTATCAAGAAATTAAATCCATTAATCCATTAAAAGCTCTCTAAAATATCCCCGAATTTCCATGAAAAAATTAAAAACACTAGTCTGCGATTTCTCAAATTTGAAACACTTTTTTACAACATAAATAAGAATATGTTCATTTATATGTTTTCTGTTAAAAAAGTTTCCGCTAAAATACTGTAATATGTAATTAGTGTTGCTTATACTCAGGGCTTAATTTCTAAAATTAGAAGTTCCGGAGGCATATTTCATAAGTGCACATCAGCGTAGCCACTGAGGGAGGGGTTTCGAAAATGGACCAATGAGCTTCTGTTGCTCTTGTGACGCTGAATCTTCGTTCATGTGAGCGCATGCTGTTTACGTTTTAATTTGCATTTGTTTCGCAGTTATAAATGTATGGCGTAATAGTAGAAAATCTCGTAGTGCTTTCGTTTTATGAGTTTAATTAATCGCTGACATTTCACTTTCGCGATTTTTATCACTGATTGATATTTGGATTGATGTTCACGGCATATTATCGTTCTTTACATAGAGAAAATAACTCAGGCTACAATTAGCTTCGAATATTATGCATTTACTAACAAATGTGGATTAAGAGAACTCATGTGTCTAGTTTTTTTAAAAATTCTATTGAGCTGAGAAGGACTGGAAGTGTTACAATGAATCTAGTGTTTTCTTATTTCAGTGCTTGCATTCTTTTGATTTTGAAAGTGTAAGATTCAGAATACATATTGCGCATGATCTAATTATATCCATTGTTAACATTAAAAGTTATATGTGAATAAATTGAATATATTCGTTGTGAATAGATAAATTGATTCTGTTTGATAAGTATTTCTTGTGTAGACAGTATATTTAAGAGTGAGCAGTTATTAAATGAAAAATTTAACACTCCAAATACAAATTAGTGAAGTGAATGAATGAATAAAACTTTAAATAAAATTATGCATTGGCTATTATTGTAGAACATTTTTTCATATAGACCGCAATAAAAAGTGCTGACTTGTATTTACATATATAACTGGTGTAAATATTTTTCTCATATGCATAGTTTTATGTAAAGATAGCATTTGGGCTTAGATGTGTATCACATATTTACTACGTCTTATTTATCACTTATTAAATAATATTTCGCACAAATATTTTTGAGGAGTATCCAACATGTGTTTGTATTTATTTCAAATTCTTTTGTCCAGGTAGTGAAATCTTTCCAGTTGCTTATATTTGATCTAACTTTCAGAAAATTTTCAGAAGAAATAGACGATGTACAGAAAATTGCGGGGCAAAATATTTTCAAACATCTTGTTTAAATCTTAAAGCGTGCGAAAGGTCATGTGACATGACAGAAATATTACTGGATGCTCATTGGTCCATCTTAGAAGCCACTCCTTCGGTGGCTACACAGATGTGCACTTGTGAAATATCGGAGCCCTATGGAAGACCGTCAGCAAAGAGGAACAAGAGTAAATAAATAAATAAAATGACTATTAAACTCATTAATAATTTTAAAATTAAATAGTTAATTATTATCAAATTAATTAATAGCTGTTTAATTAATGTTAATTGTTATTTAATTCAATAATTTTATATGGTTAATTAATTATACTTAAACTGATAATTATATAATTAATTAATTATTATTTATTGAAATAATTAAAGATTAAAGTAATTAAATAATTAAAATCAAATTAAATGTAAAGAGATAAATTAAAATGTAATGAGATACATTCCGCAAGAGAAGAAGAGGAGGAATGAACTTGCTTGTTTACATTAGCTGTACATAAGTCACGTGATCTCTAATGTTATCTGCATTGTTTGGTTGGTTACAAAAGCTATTCATCGTGAGGTCATCAGAATGTTATCTCATAAGCGATTTTTAATATAATTTTATTGTTAAAAATAAAATTTTCAAGATAAAATTTCTACTGAAATTGTTATTCAATTACATAAAAGAAGTGCCGCAGTCTTTTTATTTAGGGCTCCAGTGCGCTCCTGCTAGAATTACGATTTATTTCAAAAACTAAGCACAGGATCCGAGATCCGGTGAGCTCCGGCCCAATTTAAGTTCTGATCGTAAGGGGAGAAAAAGTTCTTTTATCGTCACAAAAAAATTAAATATACTTAAAGTATAGCTGATGAAAATTCAGATAATGCTAAAAACAGGCCGAAACAGAATGAGGGCGTGAGGGTATGAGTGGGTGGAAACAAAAAATGAGGGGAATCTTGGTGAGAAAGGACGTTCTCTTTGACCGCTGCTCTCTGCTGATATAATTATAGCCATCAAGCAGATGTATGTCAGCGGTAAAATGAGTCCTGAATCTGACTCCTAAGGATGAATGTAAAGTTGCTGGTTACGCTTTTCCCCCCCATTAGTGGATACTGTGGGAAGACGATGTATAGAACGTGCTTGATTCACTCTTATTGTACTCGCTGTCACTTTAACGCACATTTAAGAATGCAAATTTTCCTTCCTGGATAACTAACTATAAGCATCGATAACAACTATAAGTATCGATAACAATACATTAGATACGATGGCATGGCGAGAAATTTACCGTTCCTAAACAAATTCCTCCAAATTTATTACCCTTCTTAAAGGAAAAGGTTTCCGCATGTGAGTGAGGGGACTTAAATTGAACGTCTCATTTTCTCACGAGTTCGTATTGCTAGGGAAATAGAGTATTGCAAAGTCTGCTTATTGTTAAACTAAAACGTTAGGAATTCTAATTTTTTTCCCTTTAAGTTGTGGTTCAGTTTTATAAAAAGAAGGTACTGGAGCTCATCTCATTTAGGCCTCCGGTGCGCTCCGGCTAAAATTGTAATTTATCTTAAAAATTAAGAAGTACCGGAGCCGGGCTCCGGCGCAATTTAAGCAGTGCTTATACTATAGTTTGAGAAACCAATAAATAACAATCCATTAAAATATTCATTGACTAAAAAGTCTTTAAAAATATTTTCTGTACTACCATTACAAGTTAAATCCAATAATCTATTAAAAAGTTGAATTCGTTAATCGGTTAAAATTTTGTTCGTTAATAGTTAATTATTCTTATATTTATTGAGAAGTTAATTATCGCATCGTAATAATACACTCCTGCTAAAAAAAATAAACAACAAAGGTAAACCACGGAAGGAAACAAAAACTATTTGGTAATGGATATGCTTGAAACTGATCCAAGAGGTTGGTGTGGCATTACTAGACCACATAGCAAACAATAAAACAAAGATATACAAAAACACATGTATTACGATCGTCACAACGAGAAGGACCAACTGACTGATATAGGTCCGCCATGCTCCTTTTTAAAGTGTTGTGGTGTGATTGCGGAAATTGCGTTTTATGCTAATTTTGGTTCATGCAACCTCTACCTCATATGTAAATTGTATACTTTAATTACTCTTTTTACATTTGTACCTTTTCATTTAATGTTTGTTGCTTGTTTTTTTTAGCTCGAGTATAAATACAGGAATATTCATATCAAAAGGGGAACCATTTTATATTTATTAAAATATTTTGTGTAAAAATTGTGCAACCCCAAAATTGTATCATTAGGGGCATATGTACCATCGCTTGAGAAACACTGTAGTAATCCAATAAAAATATTCGTTTTTTAAAAATACTTAAAAAAATTAGTATATTTTAATTAAAAAAATAAACCCATTAAAATATGCATCCATTAAAAATGCGACAATGGTATTCCTGTATTTCCATGAAAAATTAAATGCTTCAGTCTAATACAATAGTCATTTATTAAATATAAATTAAAAGTATTCCTGTATCTCCACTAAAAAATGAACCCATTAATCCAGTAAAAATGGTCGTAGATTAAAATATTCTTATATTAATTTAGTGTTTGGATTTTAACATTTTAATAAATACAGAACTATTTTTAAACGGTATTCTTAGATTTGTTTTTTCGTTTAAACGAGGGTTCTAAATTTTGTTTCAATTTAAAATTTTTAGTAAACTCGAAGGATGCGGAAAGAAGTTTAAGCTTGCTGAGGTGATGAAAGAATTGCACCATCTTAAAACCTTATGCTGCTCTGGAAAGGGCGATGGAGGAGGGGGAGGACAAGAAAAAGGAAACCCTTAATCAGAATAGCAACTTCCTGCCTTCCAACTTTATTTTGCATATTTATTGCGTGATTCTGTCGGAAGCAAGCGGAAGGTTATCTGACTTTGATGTAAACCCGATTCGCTCGAGCGCCCGATCGCCCAGGAATCATCCATCTGTCGTCGCTTGCCTTGATTTGTGTAGAGAGCTTTCGCTTGCCCTTTGAAGTCGGCCTCGAGTAAACTTACAGCTTTTCTTTTTATTTACGAGAGCAGAGTTTGAATATGTATACATGTACAGCGAAGAATTAAGCTTCGGAATTTGCGGTGCTGCCATCTATTGACAACAAATGTAACCGTATGTCTTAATTCTCCTCCAGGCAGTGTTACGTTGATGCAGGTGGTTGCTAAGTGGGTCAAGAATTATGCGGTGGAAAGTTCTAATATGAGGATCAGAGCGTAAATTGCGCCGGAGTCCACCGTAGCCCGGCTCCGGTACGTCTCAGTTTCTGAGGTAAATTGTGATTCTAGCTGGAGCGCACCGCCTAAATAAAAGTTCTTTTATGTAAATGAAATAGAGTTTCAGCGGGCTATTTTTATTTGAAAAATAAATACGCGTTAAGAATCGATTATAACTTCCGAATGCATACTTGTCTTTCTCTGGGGGGGGGAACGGGCGGAGGTGTTAAGACTTGTAAGGAAAGAAAAACCTCTATCCTCATGTCAAAGGCTTATTCTCCAGGTAGCGCAAAGAATTTATAAGTACCATTAAAATGTTGTTTATAAGTACCATTAAAATGTTGTGTTCCCAAAAGTACTAAAAGTGTACAATGATCATGCACGTCCAGCGCAACCTGCAAAGTTCCTGTAGACGTGAATTATGTAACCAAATATGCGGGACAAACATTTTCACTTGCAGTGCCAGTTAGGGCTCCTTTCGGGCCTTGGGCGCAGAAGATCTACGGGTCCCCTTGGCGCTGGTGGATCCAAGGAAGAGCTCTTTTATCCGCTAACAAATGAAACAAAATGTTAATGTTTAATTTTTATTGTAAAAGTATATATAAAAATAAAAAGCAAAACAGTATTCGTATAAAAAATGTTTAAAATCAACATTCTAAAATATAACATAAAGAAGGGTAAAAATAAAAATAACATTCTAAGGTATAACATTCTAAGGTATAACCTTTTGGAGCAGCAGCTCTTGGTAACTTTTAGGCGAGCTTACTACAATTTTTATATTCTAAGGTATAACATATAAAATTATAACATTCTTTTTTGTGACTTAATATTCGCAAACTGACGTATCACTGTTAACCCCTTCGCGCCGACTGTCACGTATACGTGCCAGCAACGAACACACTTATCTACCGGCCGACGCGCAGGCGTGCCAGAACATTGTTGCATTCTCTACCGACTGTCACGTATTTGTGCCAGTACTTTGGAACGTTTTTCAAACTATAATTTCTGCCACAAGATGGCACTGTATGTCCATATGGTTTCAGATACATGTGCATTAGACCTTCTACTCGAAATGAGAGAAGCATGACTCACATACACGTGTTTTTGATTATATAAACAAACGGGGAACTAAATGTTTCCGAATGGCGTGATTTATGACGTCTCTTTAAATCGCACTTTATTCGCACGTGGTAGTTGTTTATTGTAAGTAGAAGTTTTATATGCGCTAAAAAGCGTTGAGTATTTCCGTTTACAGTTCAGTTTTTAGAAAATAATTAGATCTTGTTAGACGTGAATTCTTTCTGTTTTTACCGTTTCAATGTCGAAGCGTCGAAAATGTTTAACAGAGCATGAAATAGCAGAAATGATGCAAAATATTTCAGATATTGATTCTGAAATTCTGATATTGATTCTGAAAGATTAACTGAAAGACATTTTCCAAAACTTTGTTCAGAAGAGACTGATAAGAACTCCAAAACGGCAAATGAGTTATTACGAGTTCAAGGACTGTAACGTAGGACTGTGTGTAGATCCCTGTTTTAAAATTTTTCATACGAAAAGAGAATTTTAAGTAATATATTTAGTTTTCAGATTATAATGTTAAAAGTCATAAAATGGTGAGTAATTAAAATAAAATGTGTAAAATATACATTTAAACAAGAAATAAGGTAATTAAAGTATATATATAAAAATATCTATAAAGCATAAGCCGTTTAAATACTCTATAGAGCATTATTAAACAATGCGTTGATACTTCGGAAATTTCATGGATTTAGGCTTAGTAGCAAAAAAGCCCCCGGCCCTGGAGAGACGCTCGCGGAAGAAACTGCCGGCTTCCGCGATAAGCGCGCGTTTTCGCTACCCGGCTCGAAGGGATTAAGTTTCTGAAGTGCGTTATGTTCTACATATAATAATATGCAACGCATAAAGGTTTTCTTGACTCAAATTAGACCTTAAGTCTTTTTAAGGCCGAAAAAGATCGTTCGCCTGACGCATTAGAACAGGATATCGTTAAATAAATTTACAATAGAGATAGAATATTCGGAATAGTTGCTTTCGCCATTTGGACAACCTCAAATTTTTCATAAATCGTGTTTTTGTTTAAAATTTTGCACAATTCTTGAAAATGTAAATATTCTTTGGTTTCATCAATATGGTTTCTATATTTATTTAGCCAATATTAATCAAGACAGCTCCAAAGTCACGTTTTACAGTCGTCGAAGATCTACTATACACTCGCTGGAACAATCAGCGACACAGCTTTCAGGTTATCAGGCTGTAACGGTGGAGACAGCTTCACTGCAAAGCACCAGAGTACAGCTCCCGAGTCTGCTCGATCGTTTTCGGAACTCCACGTACTCTCGAGACTCTTCACGTTACAACTCGCGATGCACTCGACGACACACAGAGCACAGCTCCCGACTCTTCGGTACAGTCGTTCCCGGAGCTCAACTCGCTCTCTCGACGATGCACAAACCGCGATATACTAAGAGAGTCTTTCGATGCATTCGCCGACCCACTCGGCGCTCGCTGACCGACTGTTAACTCGATGGACTCCTCACGGACTGGCTAACTCGAGACTAATTATCTCGCACTGACCCTCCGCGTACCAGCAGGGTTTATATAGTTTTTGGCTTGTGTTCGAGACCATTGTGGGCTAAACCAGTAAGAATTCGTTCCGGATGGTTCTCTACCCGTCCATAACATATCGCCAATTTTGTCGCCAAATGGGCGATTTCTCACCAAATGTGGTAACCCTGACTTGATCTTTCCATTATATGGCAACCCTAAACCTGCTTTGCGGGGAAGCCATCTTAGCGCGCCTGGACATTTTGTAACAATATATATTTTTCCCAGCGGCATCGAAATATTGTTTCATAGCTGCCAACTGTATCGGTTTTTCATCGGATCTCCCGGTCATTAGCCGAATCACCGCGTTTTTAATTTTTATCCTTTAATAAAGAAAATATTTTTCGGCAATAAATAAAATTAATTTATTTAATGAAACTGAAATGAGGCAAGTTGCATTTCTGCACTTCTAGTATCAGAATAATTTTTCCTACTAAATTTTATTTCATCTGAATGGTACATTACCAACTGCAATATCATTGATTTTATTAAATTTAATGATTGATCTTATTAAATTTGATTTGACTTACATCTACTTTAGATATTTGTAGATTTTTACATGCAAGCAGAGTTTAATCGGTTATTTCTTGTATTTAATGTTATTTTACCAAATATTTGTATTTAATTTCTTTTTAATTAATGTAGAATCATTGGGTCCATTTTGGAACAGAAAACACGAAAATATTAAGCGGCATTCGAAGTCCGGACCTTCGATTGCTAGCTGGACGTGCTGCTAATTACACCATTTAATCACAAGTAGCTTTGGCCTTAGTCGCCATAGCTTGATGATGATAAATTGTAGTTCACCGCGTTGCGCCACTCGAGAACGATTTTTTGATTTTTTAGAGGCAATAAGTATGCAGTGCCTCGATTTCCAACCACAGACATCCTGATTGCTAGTCGAACATGCTTCCAACTACACCATGAAGGCACGCTATAAGGAGAGAGAAAGTATTTTGTAAATATATTATACGTTACTAAGTTTATCCACACCGACACTCTGTTCATTAATTATTAATTTTATTTTCATCGCATGTAAAAGTACTTTGATAAATTGAGTTTCACACTCTGGATATGCTCAGTATAAAATTGTAAGAAAATTTAAAAAAATTAAATTATCCGAAAAACATAAAATTTAGCATATTTAATTAAAAGCTAACAGATTTGATTTCAGAATTATATTACAAACAGTTCAATAACCAGAAATAAATTTAAGTCAGTTTGCAGTTCTTTTATAACGACCTCGACACGCAGCACGAAAACTTCCCGTTTTTTGATATTTCAAGGTTGGCGAGAACTATTTAAAACGATTTAAGTTAAATATGCATTGTTAATGTAAGTTAATGTGCATTCTGTAACCTCAATAAGGGCGGAGCACAGAAGTTGCTGAACGCTAGATTTCGGAGTTCGTCGAAAAGGCTAGCTTAATAGTAGAATTTCGTTCTTTCTAGTGTGTAATGTTATTAAGAGCCAGTTTCCGTAGAAAATACTACAGCTGAGAGGTAAAGTTGCTAGCGCTGGTAGTTCGGTCCGGGGTTCGAATCCCGGTGAAAGGGCTGGCTGCATGAGCGTTTTTGTGCTTTTTCCCATGTGTAACGTGGGTACGGGCCAGTTCCCTTTGAAAGGATCTCCACAAATGCATCCCTCTCCTTAAGCAGATAGCCCTTTGTCTTAGTCAAATAAGCCAAACCAACCCTTGTAGAGTCATTAGGTTAACTGGAAGCAGAAAAGATGAAAATATGCAACCACCTTCGCCGGGAATCGAACCACGGACCTCTGGAATACCGGCCCAGCGTGCTGACCACTACACCACGAAGGCACGCTAGGGAAGTGGGAGAAATACCTTATATATTCCCCTTTTTAAAGGGCGACTAGGGTTTTAGGGGACCTAGTCGCCAAATCCTGGATGCTGAGAATCATCATCCACAACCCTTTTAGTTCGGGCGCCACATGTAGAGTCATTAGGTTAATTGGAAGCAGAAAAGATGAAAAATATGCAATTGCCTTCGCCGGGAATCGAACCACGGACCTGTGGAATACCGGCCCAGCGTGCTGACCACTACACCGCGAAGGCATGCTAGGGAAGTAGGAGAAATACCTTATACCCTTAGAAAAAGCTCCACGAATGCATCCCATTTTAGTTTTAATAACAGTTAGGTTTATTAATTTTAATTTGGGTCATTTCTATATGATTTTTTTTTCCCCCGATTAGTGCGAAGTTGCTGCAGTGCTTTGCAATTCCATCCTTCTTGCAATTTTCTACCTATTTTCCTGAAGTTGAAAAGGACAGTATTTCCTTCAGAAGTGGCAGCACCTTTTACTGTCATCAGTTCCGAATGTGGATATGGGAAATCACTTGAGGAAAGAATTAAAAGGAAGCGGTGTTTCTACAAATGCCGACAGAGGTGATGAGTAATTTCTGCTTCTGTCGCTTTTACATCTCTGAAATCTGCGGTTCACATCACACCCTCGCGTAACAGCAACCACAACCGTCCCCCTCCCCCACAAATTATAATGTACTGTTGCAATCTAGAAGGTGCTGATTGTTGCAGCTGCCAATATAATCGGACTTGTATTTTGTAAACACTACTCTGAAACATGTTTCTGTGATGTCACAGAAGGGGTGTGTCTGTGATAAATTGAGGAATTTTCATTTAACCGGTTTCGTCTGCGATAGAAATCTTGTAAGATGCGCACAGATGTTCGTTCACGCTTCGCGCGCGAACGGTTACGGTTTCGATTTGAGTTGTACGTAGAAGGCCGTCGGTTAAATAAGTTTCTTTTGTTTAATTTTTTGCGTGCGATGTTGAAAAGGAAAGCATAGTTTTCCAACAATATCCGAAAGCAAAGGAATTTAACGCTGTATAACATTTTTCTTATTTCCTAGTTTTATTTTTC